CTCCTTCCAACCCATATTATTAAGCAAACTAAATAACGGGGATTGTAGATACCAAAAAATCATGTAACTAACCATTCTTGTCCTTAAAATGCATACAGTTTAAGCAGTAGAACGTTTCTACCCTTTGAGAATGGGTAAGGTTTTTGCAAAGTCAAAGATGAGCAAATAATATCATGAGCCTGGTGTAATACAGCATGTGTGAGTGTGTATTTGTGTGCATGTGTGTTTTAAAAAATGAAAGATTAATGAAATAATGAAGCTAATCTTTGGATGAGATCTATGACAGATCCAGGAGACAATCCAAAAGAATCATTGTAAATATGTTGGGAGAAAGAATAAACTTTTTGGAATAACTGTGAAAAAAAAAAATCCCAAATGCTTTGAGTAGTACTCCTACCTAAGTACCAATTTTCTACACAAACAAACCTTTTGCATTTACCAGAAGCATACACAGTGGTTAGGTTCTTTGGCCAACTAAGTCTAACTAATTCGTGAACTTCTTGAAATAGGTAGGACCCCAGCACCTAGCATCTATGTCTCACATTTCCCAACACAGCCTGCTCAAGGCACTGAAATAAAAGGGCAGGCACCTGTTACTTTTCCTAGCAACTTTGATATAGAAGATTACTGAGTTTATAGCAAGGTGGTAACTTGCACACAATGAGGTACAGCAGAGGGAAGGGATTCTCCGTTTTGTTCTGTTTACCACCATTTTTTCTGTGATCTCATCTTCCTACTGAAGATAGTTCACTAGAAAGCAATGTGAGAAGAGGGGCTAATGCTAAAGAGAGTCTTGACTGGAGTTGCTCTCTGCTGATAAAAGAGAAGGAGATGGCAATGGGAGAAAGCCTGGGTTATCCACACACAGCAAGTAGGAAACAGGGAATTCAAGAGCTACTCATTTTTGGCAGAACAAATTCATTCAGATGTGTAAGTTCAGCTGTGCATACTAACAATCAGCTTCATTATGGTAACAACTCATTGTAGCAGTGAGAATCATAAATTATTTTCCATTTAAAATAAAATATATGAAAGAAAACTATTTTTCGGTTATACAAAAGGAGATGTTATTCAACTACAGAAGAGAGTTCTATTTTACCTTGTGCAGTCTGAAGTCAGATCTGCCTGCCTTAGAGTGAAATGGAGTAACAGAAAATTCCAAGAGCATTTGATTTTCAAAAAACATCAACTTAAGAATCTCAAATAGGTATTGTTATGGGCGTTGGGAGAAATCACCCTCGGAGACCGATAATTGCCAGCAGCTGGGACTGCACCAGCCAATTCAGAGTGCGGCCCAAGCCGTTTTTACTTTCAGTTTTTAAAGCTGCAAGCACGGCAACTCGGTCGCCCGGTCACCTGATCAACATGCTAGGAGTTATTAGCCAATGCAAGCAAGCCAACAGTACATAAGCTAATTTTGATGTTAGCATGGCTCCTCCCAGGCCCTCCCACATTTTCCTGCCCAGGTTTTTCCCACCTGAGTTTTTACAAAATGGAGGGGTTT